GATAAAAATTCGAAATGAGCTGCATTGGTTATTTGCAAAACATACTTCTAAAAAGTGGCTGTTAAAACTAGATTTCAAAACATTCTTAGAATATCAAATTTAAACTTTTAAAGATACTTTGACCCCATTTTCTCATTGTCTGATTATGTTTTATCAAAACGATAAATTGACATTTTACATACAAAAATTATTTTAACCGGCAGTATGTCCACCTGTTAAACGATAACCGGAGGTTGAGATATATCAAATAAGACTCGGGAGTATCACGGTACTTTTGAACATTAAATAGTATCAAAAAAAGTACCATCGTACCAAATCTGCCATCCCTGCCCTATACAAATGTCCACAATTTTATTCAACAATAAATGGCTTAAGTATAATTCAAGGCAAGGTACAATTCAACTTGCTTTATTATGAAAACTAAATCACATTTTATTTTTGTATCAGTTGTAGGGTATTATATGGTCGGCCTCGCCCGACTATAATTTCTTACTTGTTTAAATGTTGGAATAAATTGAAAAAAATCAATTGTGCAACAAAATGGACAATAGTGATCGCTAGGGAATCGATTAAGGAATCGATCCTTGTATTGATTTTTTTGCGGGGTGCTTTCTATCGGGTGCTGTGACTTAACAAACTTTGACAAATTCACAAATCTAACGAAAAAGTATTTTTTTATACTGTATGGAAGTATATACAGGTACATTTGCATACAATATGGATAAGCTTCACATACTATATAAACGGGTGGTACGATATCTATATGCTTTGCGTCTGCATTCTAGTGTATCCCCTTATGTAGAACGGTTTTTAGGGACGTCCTTTTTCAATTTTGTAGCTATAAGATTATTGTTGCATTTTTATACTATATTTCGTAATGGTTATCCAACTATTATATTTAATTTTTTTACATTTACCAGATCTTCTAGATCTAATTTATTAATTGTTCCTCGTAATTCTTCCTAGATGGAGCGATCGTATCAACTTAGAGTTATACATTATTTTAATTCTTTGCCAGTAGTTTTAAGGCACTTTAATGGTTCATATCATCTTTACAAGAGAAAACTTATTCAATATAGTATTTCACATCAAATTTATTAATTCGGATTTTTTTTGGGAATGCTAAATGAGTATAACTATATACTACATTTCATTATTTTTATATATTTTTTTTATTAATTTTTTATTGATGTTACAAATTAAATTTTATATAACTAGTAATAGTGTGGATTACTGTAATTTATTAATTGGCCAATAAGGCTTACAAATTACAAATGAAGCAAATAAAAAAAAAAGGTTTTATACAAAAAAATTTTAAAATATTACGTGTGCACCAAACCAGCCAATAGTGATCGGTAGGGAATCGAATAAACAATCGATCCCTGTAATGATTTTTTTGGGGACACTTTCTATCGAGTGCTGTGACGTAACGTTGAAAATTTTATAAAGTTAAGGAAAACGTTTTTATATAAAAAATTTTAAAATATTCCATGTGCACCAAAACAGCCCATAGTGATCGATAGGGAATCGATTAAGGAATCGATCTCTATATAAATTTTTTTTGTTAGTTACTTTCTATTGGATGCTTTGACGCAACAAACTTTAACAAAAAAGATGAAAAAGTTTTTATACAAAAAAAATTCTAAAATATTCCGTGTGCACCAAAACTGCCCATAGTGATCGATAGGGAATCGAATAAGCAATCGATCCCTATATTGATTTTTTTCCGGGGTGCTTTCTATCGGATGCTGTGGCGCAACAAACTTCGGCAACTTCAAAAATCTGACAAAAAGTGGAAAAAGTATTTATACAAAAAAATTTTAAATATTCGGTGTGCACCAAAACAGCCCATAGTGAACGATAGATAATCGATTAAGGAATCGATTCTCATTTTGTTTTTTGGGTACTTTCTATTGGATGCTATGACGTAACAAACTTTAACAAATACACAAATCTAATGAAAATGTTTTTATGCTAAAAAAAGTTGTATTTATTCAGTGTGCACCTTAACAGCTAATAGTGATCGATAGGGAATCCATTAAGAAATCGATCTATATACAGATTTTTTTACGAGGTACTTCCTATCGAATGTTGTGACGTAGCAAACTTTGACAAATCGCAAATCTAACTAAAAAGGCGAAAAAGTTTTAATACAAAATAATTTTAAAATATTCTGTGTGCGCCAAAAGAGTCAATAGTGATCGATAGAGGATCGATGGGCGAATTGATCCCCATATTGATTTTTTTCCGGGATACTTGCTGTGTGATGCTATCACGTAACAAACCTTGGCAAATTCACAAAGTTAAGAAAAAACTTTTTATACTGAAAAAATGTTAAATTTTTTGCACCAAATCAGCAAATAGTGATCGATGAAGAATCGATAATCGAATCGATGACCAAATTAATTTTTTCTGTGTACTTGCTATAACTCAGTAAATTTTATAAAAATCACAAATTTAAGGAAAAAGTTTTTATATGAAAAAAAAAAATTAAATATTCTGTGTGCACAAAAATGATCAATACTGATCGATAAAGGAATCGATTCCCATTTTGTTTTCATTTCTGGGTACTTGCTAACGGATGCTGAGACGTAACAAACTTTAAAAAATTTGCATATTTAAAAAAACTTTCTGTTTAAAAATTTTCAAATATTATTTAAGCACCAAGGAAAAAATCAATATAGGTATCGATTCCTTACTCAATTCCCTATTGATCACTGTTTGCTGTTTTAGTGCACTCAGAATACAATTAAAATTTTGTAGTATAAAAACTTTTTTCTCTTTTTCGTTAGATTTTTGAATTTGTCAAAGTTTGTTGCGTCACTGCATCCAATGGAAAGTACCCAGGAAAAAAATCAATATAGGGATCGGTTGCTTAATCGATTCCCTATCGATCACTATTGGCTATTTTTGTGCACACGGAATATTTTAAAAATGAAGTTGCCGAAGTTTGTTGCGTCACAGCGTCCAATAGAAAGTACATACTCCTGGAAAAAATTAATACAGGGATCGGTTCCTTAATCGATTCTCTATTAATCACTATTGGCAGTTTTGGTGCACATGGAATATTTTAAAACTTTTTTGTATAAAAACTTTTTTTTCTTTTTGTGAAGTTGCCGAAGATTGTTGCATCACAGCGTCCAATAGAAAGTACCCCGGAAAAAATCAATATTGGGTTCGATTCCTTAATCGCTTCTCTATCGACCACTATTGGCTGTTTTTTTTTTAATTTTAAAATTTTTTTGTATATAAACTTTTTCCTCATTTTCGTTAGATTTGTGAATTTGTCAAAGTTTGTTACGTCACAGCATCCGATAGAAAGCACCCCGCAAAAAAATCAATACAGGGATCGATTCCCTATCGATCACTATTGTCCATTTTGTTGCACAATTTATTTTTTTCAATTTATTCCATCATTTAAAAAATTTTATAAATACAGCATTGGCCTTTGTTATGGTTTGTTTTCTTTTGTTTACATTTTCTATGTAGTTTTAACACGTGCATGCAGAAAAAGTACCTTTTTTGCAACTCTGAAAAAATGTTTGCCAAAAGTGATAAAAGTTTGTTAAAAAGTTTGTTTTCTTAATAGGTATTTAAAAAGTTTGTTTTCTTAATAGGTATTCTTTTTCTTTATGTTTTTTATGTATTTTTTGCTTTGTTTACATTTTTTGTACTTTTGCACTTAAATACACAATAAAGTACCTTTCTATGCAACTATGAAAAAAGTTTGCCAAGAATCCCCTGTTTCAGCTGATAATTTTTTTCTTAATTCGCCTGGTTTACGTAGCTGAGAAAGTTTGTTATTGTTTACATTTTTATATTTAAAAATGTCCGTTAAACGGAGAAAAACTTCGTTAATATTTTGAATTATTTATGTAAAAAATCTGAAAATGCCAAGCATCTCGTAAACAAATATCATTTTATTTAAATAATGGCATAAATGGTATGTATACAAATATGTTATTTAAGAAAAATATTTTTTTTCTACTAAATGTTAACATATTATACAATATTGTTTTATATTTTATATTAAAATTGTGTTGATAACGTGATTAACTATAAAAATCTCTTCCGGAACACTTAATATTAAGGCCAAATATTTAAAATTGCTCCGCCGGAGTAGAATTATCCATTCGCAACAAATATTAATTTATTCGTAATATAATATTTTTATGAATATGTACTTTTTTATGTTTATTTTTCACAAAAAATTAAGTTTTACTTAACTTCAGGCACTAACTTAAATTTTGCAAATTAAGCTGCCGCAATAGAATTTTTCGTTTGAAACAAACATTATTCAATTCAGAATATATTTTCCTCACAAATTTTAATATCTTTATCTTTATTTTTTACTATAATATAAACATTTTACAAAAATTTTTCATCAAATGAATTCGCCGTACTTATGGTTTTTGACATCTACGTAAACCAAATGCAAAAACAAATTACATGTAAAATGTTGTTGTTGCAGAACTACCACCAACTTATCTGAATTCGCCTTGCCATGTTTGTTTTCTTCAGCTCCGTTTCCCCGTGTCTATACTAGACAAATATTTATCACGGCACTTGACGAAACGTCGGCAGAAAAATTTTCAGTTTTTTGTTTATGTTAATACATAGGGGTAACAAAACGCTGATTTTATCACGACAACTCACAGATAATTTTATTGAAATAATGCTATATTTTATAAAAACAATTAAAATTAAATGCAAATTTTGTAAATAAACACTAATTTCACTAAAACTAATGTTAAAAATCAATTTTAATTGCACAAAAACAAAATTCTAAACTAATTTTACAATAAAATGACGTTTGTTATCAAGACAACGTTGTCTAAACAATTGTTTAGATAACACTGTCATAACGACGTACCTGCACCTTCTAATTTTGTATTATGATAACAATTGGACGTTTAGCATAATAAATATTTGTCTAATATAGACAGGGGCTTTGGCAAACATGAAAAAAATCATCGTATAAATTGCGTGTAATATACCACACCAGTTCTTACATTAAGCAAACTGTCGATAGCAAGTCAATAAACACAAGCCCGAACGCGTTAAAAATAATTGCGATGACGCGAGAGTTGTCCCCAAATCAGACCTGAATCACAAAGTATACAGAGGTATCACTTTTGACATTTAAAAAAATCTAAAAACAAATGTTAGATTTCGAAATTGTTTGGTGAGAAGAGGTACATATATTAAATACAGCTAAAAAAAACTTATTGAAATCGTTTTGTCCGCGAGAGAGAGGGAAACAGTTTTTTTGCTCGTGACGCCTCTGTATACCTAGTATACGGCCTAAAAACAATAATAAATCAAATGCAGGAACCGGTCTACCAGACTAGAACAGTAACCACTAACCTACCGGAGGCCACTAGTGTATATACAGTTAATCTCAAAAAATAAGTATACAGAAATACTGACTATTGGTTTTATTTAAAAAAGGATATTATTTTTCAAAAATCAAAAAGTAACACATTTATTTATTAAAAACAATTATGATAATTATTATTCACTACTTTTTTCCGGGTTATTTTGGTTACTTGAGTTATTATTTAAGGTGTAGTTAAATAGGTGCAAAATTTACGTCACACAAATAAGTATACAGATAATTTCAATATGTATTTGGCTTAATGATATGAACAAAATTCATGAACATTTTACCTGTTTGAATGTAATTATTTTATAATAAAATATTCTGTACACTATAACATGGAAAAAATTCACTTTTTGTTCCTAGAAATTGAAATTTTTGATAATTGATTTGAAAAATATTTATAAGAGCATTTTTTCCTATTTAAGAACATCTGGCTATTTAAACCCCCGGAGTTTTGGATCGGGTATTCAATAATATCCCTCGTTTGTTCATTATGATGCATTGGAAGATGATATTTTAACTTTTAAATTAATTGTTTCTTTACAATAATTGCAATCCATTGCGGAACATTGCCATTTTTAACATAGTATAGCGTTCATATTCGATATTTAACGGCGATTTCCTAAATTTATATCTTAAAATGCGATATTAATAATATTTGCACTAGTATCCATTAATTAAAACAAGTTTTTTGGCTTCAATCATCCATTACACACTCCTAAATACTACCAATAATCGTCAAATGGTGACCATGTCAATAACTTACACTACATATCGGTTCTGAAATTGATTATTATCCAAAATAGTAAGATTTTTATATTAAATCAGGCTCAATTGGTGGTATTAATACGAATTGAACAATTTTGAACACGGATACATCTTAATTTGTTGCTAGAACAAATAAATTGTCCGATCCATAAAACATGGTTATTGTATCGAGTATATCAAGATATGATTGGTAGCATTATTGTATGCTTTGGAAATCGGAGTATTTGGAAAACCTGTTTATATTAAAGGAAATATATAGACTTATCCAAATTTTAAAGTTTCTGTTGTAAGTCTTAAGAAATCGGAGTTAAATTTCGGTTTTTTAAGAACGTACTGTGTTCAAAATGGCCAAATCCATGCATATAACATTAATTTCGAAATAACAACTCTTTTCAAAAGTATAAAATTCTATTTCCAATGCATCATTTGGAGGGTTCATTGACCACCAGATCCAAAATCCGGGGTCTAAAGTGGAAAAAAATCGTAAAAATGAGAAAACACTGTTCTACTAATTAATTCCGGAGCCAATCGGCTCAAATTTCAAGATTTCGGAACTAAAAGTAGATTTTTTCCAAGTTTTATTAAAAAGTAATTATATTAATACAAGTAAAATTTTCATAAATTTTGTTAATATCATTAAACCAAATATATACTGAAATGATTTGTACACTTACTTTTGTGACGTAAATTTTGCACCTTTTTAACTTCAGCTTAAATGAGAACTCAAAGAACCAAAATATGAAGAAAAAAAAGTAGTGAATAATAATTGTTTTTAATAATAAATGCGTTACTTTCTTGTTTTTTAAAAAATAATTTCTTTTTTTTAAATAAAACCAATCGTCAGTATTTCTGTATACTTACTTTTGTGATTAACTGTATATAAAAAAAATATTATTTAATTTGTTAACATTTAATAGATTTCAAAATTAAGCAATAAAGTAAAAGTAAGCTGCCGCTGTTCGGCTAAATTCTTCATATGTGTTTCTTTATATAAAGTGTTCCGGAAGAGATTTTTTTTAGTTAATTTCGTTATCTACACAATGTTAATAAAAAATATAAAACAATATTGCTTAATGTGTTAACATTTAATAGAAAATAAAAATTTATTTTTAACATATAACATACATACATACATACCAATTATGCCATTATTTATATAAAATGATATTTGTTTACGATATTTAAATATTAAGTTTTGTATTATTAAGTTTTTCTCCGTTTAAAATAAATTTTTAAATATAAAAAAGTAAACAATTATAAACTTTGACAGCTACGTAAACCAGGCGAATTAAGAAAAAAACAAGTAAGAGTGCTATATTCGGCTATGCCATATCTTATATACCCTTCACCATAGTGTATTTAAAATATATCAATTCTATAAAATTTTAATTTATTTCATTATTATAGCAATAACAAAACGAACAACAACAACGCTAAACGAAATAAACACACAAAAAAACAAAAACAAAATACACAACGCAATGAAACCAACAGACATCCAAACATACGAAACTGAATACACCAAAAAACAAAAACAATATACACCAGGCAATGAAACATACGAAACGAAATACTCACAAAAAAGCAAAAACAAAATACACAACGCAAAGAAAACAACAGACATCGAAACATAAGAAACTGAATGCACCAATAAACAAAAACAATATACACAAAGCAATGAAACACACAGCCATCCAAACATATGAAACGAAATATTCAATGAATAAGCAGTGTTGTTGTTGTTGCTTATATCAAAGCATGAAAAAAAATTTCTTTTTATGAAATTTTGAGAGGTTGTCTAAGATTTTTGCTCATATCTCCGGTATTTATGGGCCGATTTTGCTTATTTTAAATAGCGATCTTCTCGAAAGCATGTCTAACAGAATTATTGAAGATTTGAATCTCGCCGTTATCTGGGGTCCTCTAAAAACTGATTTCAACAAACACACAGACGGACAGACAGACAGACGGACATAGCTTAATCAACTCCGCTACCAATAAGGATCCAGAATACATATACTTTATGGGGTCGGAAAATTATATTGTAGAAATTACAAACGGAATGACAAACTTATATACGCTTCTCACGAGGGTGAAGGGTATAACAAGTTAGAGTGCTATATTCGGCTATGCCGAATCTTAAATTCCCTCCAACAGCAAGCTACTTTTTATTATAACCCATTTAATTATCTAATTTTTAGTTAACTTGGCAAAATTTGGAGCTAAGACAACTTATGGACCGATCCGGAAAAAAATCCGTAGAATGATTTATATATACAAAATACACATTTATGTCGAATTTTACCCCAATAACTTTGATTGCCAATGTGCATTTGAGTAATTTTCGGAAAACGTCCTTACATGGGAGTTGTGACCAATTATCGACCGATAAGGAAAAAATTTCGTATAATGATTTATATGTCAAAAAAAAAAAAAAAAATTCAAGTCGAATTTTACTACAATAGATTTATTAATTAATGAAATATGTGCGTTTAGGTGATTTTCGGAAGTGGAGTTAATATCTATAGGAGCTATGACAAAACATATTTGTGTCGAATTTTATCAAGATATCTTTATTTGATAAAGAAATATGTGCGTTTAAGTGATTTTTTTGAAGTGGACCTTATATAGGAGCTATTACCATAAATGGATCAATCCGGAAAAAATTTGGTAGAACGATTTATATGCTCACAAAACATATTCAAGTCATACTTTATCCCGATAGCTTTATTATTCAAAGAAATATATGCGTTTAAGTGATTTTCGTAAGTGGGGGCCTATACGGGAAAAATTTGGTAGAGTGATTCGTATAAAAACAAAACATATTTGTGTCAAATTAAATGTGTGCGTTTAAGTGATTTTCGGAAGTGGGACTTATATGGGAGCTATGACCAATAATGGACCGATCTGGGAAAAAGTGGTAGAATGATTTATATGTACACAAAATATATTCAAGTCGAATTTTATCCTTTTAGTTTTAGAATTTAATGAAATATATGCGTTTAAGTGATTTTCGGAAGTGGACCTTATATGGGAGCTATGACCAATTATGGGACCTATATCGGAGCTATGACCAATTGTGGACCGACTGAGATCTACGTTGATAGTATGCGTGTACAAAATTTTGTGTTGATACCGATATATTTGAGGGAGTTATTAACGATAAACTAATTTCCGGGAATATATACCTTTGAATGGGGGCTATGGGAAATATTCGATCGATTGTAAAGATTTTGAACATAATTGATCACTGCCCTGAGAAAATAATGTGTGACAAAATTCATCGAAATATCTTTGGTAGTTTCTGAGAAAACTTCAGAAGAATTATGGAAAAAACGTAATTTTTTCGAGGTAGTCTGAAATTTTTACTCATAACTTTTTACGTTGTGAACCGATGTTACTGATTTTCAATACCAAACTGCTTAGGATAACAATAAATATTTTGGGTGAATTTGGTTGATTTCCTTTGCTTAGTTTTAACATGAGCGTGTTTTACACAGACAGACAGACGGACATAGCTAAATCGACTCAGAATTTGATAAGGACCCAGAATATATATACATTGTTGGGTCTTAGATGAATATTTCTTGGTGTTACATACGAAACGACAAACTTATATATACCCTCTATCACCACTGATGGTGGTGGAGGGTATAAAAATACGACGCAGCCTGTTCACACGGTGAACAAATAGTACCCATTTTACCCAACACTTTACCCTCAGCATCCCATCACTGGTGAATTCAACTGCAGCCAACTTCAACTGCGATTGGTAGAAAAAAAGAAGAGAAGAAGTTAAACAAACAACATCATACAGTGAAAAAAAAAAAACCAAAAACCTAAAGCGGCATCATCAACCTTTAAAACCAAAACTTAAAACTAAAACAAATGAACATAAAACTTACCTAAAATTAAACCTATAATTTGAACCCAAAACAAAAAAAAAAACCTAATTAAAACCTAATACTATTTAAAACTTAAATCTAAAATAAATAGTTAAAAGAATAAAATCTATTTTAAACATAAAGATAAAATAAATAATTAAAAGACTAAAATTAAAAGAATAAAACCTACTCTAAATTTAAATATATAAACAGTGAATTAAACCCTCAACTAACCCTAAATTTATAAATAAATAAATACATATACACGTTTTATAACGTTTTTAAAATATAAAAAAAGGAAGTGTGTTTTATTTTACCCCCTTTATGGCACATACCCCCGAACCCGTCTACACATTGGTCCTAACGAACCGAATACTTATGAAAATTAAGTAAAGTGAAACAGTAACAATTAAAAAAAAAAAAAAAAACAATACAGTCCACAAATAAAACAAAAGTGAGAATTAAAAACAGTTCACTGAAACAAAAATCAAAAACTAAAAAAAAAAAATAAAAAAAAAATAAACAAAACAGTACACAAAAATAATTATAAAAAAAGAACTAAAGTTCACAATAATTAAAAAACCAATTTTAAAATAAAACAAACACTCAACGAAACATAGAAGCAATTTTGACAGTGAACGTCAAAATTTGTAAAACAATTTAATTTTGTTTTATTTTCCAGTTAATAAAGATAAACCCTAGCTAGCCTTTATATAAAAGGCTCAAAAGATAAGTATTTTTATTAATAACCCACCCTACCCCATAACACTTATCTTTTTTTGTTTGAAAATAAAATAATTTATTAACAAAAATAAAATTTTACACACAGTTTTTTATTAATATACTAATAAAACATACCCACATTAAATCACACACTGTATGTTTGCAAAAATAAAATTACAGAAAACATATTACAACAATTAAACACACTTAAATTTACTTACCCAAAATAACAAGTAATTTGTAATATTTACTTACTATAAAAACACTAACAACACAAGTACTTGTCGATCATCTCATAGCGGGAAGATCAGCGCAAAGAAGAATCGACAAGGAAAAATTTTTTTTTTACACACACTCGTACATAAGTACAATAGTTAGTACCCTACACCCCAGCAGAGTCGGTAAGTTCAAGTATTTGTAACTTACATTTCCTAATATATAATTTTTAATAAAAAAAATTATATTTTACACTATTTTCAACACATTTGCTATCATAAACACCCACCCACCCAGTTCATGAAATTTTACCCAATTTTCTTTTTCTAAAGTGTTAATGCAGAACTCAAAACCCTATTTAATTTACCCTATGTTAACACCATGCATAGTTTTTCTATAAGACAACTACAGAGAAAGATTAACTGTTGTATTGCGAATTTAAATTCCTTAGAGATTGATACGGATAATTGGGATCCGATCTTTATTTATCTCTGTTCAACAAAATTACCCCGGGAAACCCGAACAGAATTTGAAAAAACTCTTCATGATTGTGCTGAAATGCCTTCTTGGACAGATCTAGATCTGTTTTTAACAAATACATTTAAGGAACTAATATCGGTTGATGATGTTCCAGATTTAAACCCTTACACTCACCCAAAACCCAAACATGTCCAAGAAAACAAGAACTATGTAAACAGAAGAGGCAATACACTTCACACAATGGTCAATTTTGAAAATGACAACTACCCAGAAAATGATGTTCAATGTGAACAAGAATTATTAAACCCTACCCAAAATTACCCAAAAACACATAAAAGAATATGTGTACTATGTGACAGTGATCACGCTTTGAAGGAATGCTCATCATTTAACTCCTTTGGATTAAATGAGAGGATTGAATTTGTGAAAAATAATGCCATCTGTTACAATTGTTTAGCTATTGGCCATACAATTGAAAATTGTTCAAGCACTTTTACATGTAGATATTGTGGTGGTCCACATAATACACTTTTACACAACCCAGATTCAAACCCGAACCCAACATTTGATGAAAACCCTCCAAATGTGCTACAATCTTTCTCCACCCTAACCCGATCAAATAAACATGTTTTAGATGACAGAAAGAAGCTATTAGCAACAGCTGTTATGCAGATTGAAGCTCAAGGAAGATTATTTCCAGCGCGAGCGCTAATAGACCCAGCTTCTGATTACTCATTTATTTCGGATCAGTTAAGACGTAGACTACGTTTACCCACCCTACCCATATCAGCTGAAATATCAGGTTTGAACGAAGTTGTATCAGCTCGTTCAAACCAAATGTGTGAAGTGACTCTGAGGTCCAAAACCCAAAAAGATTTTAATTTAAAAATCCAATCGATAGTGGTCAAAACGCTAACTCAAAATATACCCACCCAAAATATTAACCCAAGTATAATTGAAAATTTACATAATGTTGAGTTAGCTGACCCAAGGTTCTACGAAAGTAGACCCATCGACCTTATAGTAGGAAGTGATTTTTACCCAAAGATTATAAAATCTGGTATTGAGAACAATGTTTTAAATACACTTTTAGCTCAAGAAACCCAATTTGGTTGGATCTTGACTGGACCGATTGAAGAGCCTCACCAAGCTCGAACCCAACCCACAACACAAAGAGCATTATCATATTTCAGCTCAGTAACCCTGAATGATTGCATAACCCAAAAACCCAATAAATTTGTAGAAGAATCTAAATTTGAAAATAATTTCACAAATAAAATGCAAAATATACCCGATGTGCGTTATAAAGTAAATCTTCCATTTCCTACCCATAAATTAGAAATAGAAAAATCTAAAAATATTTATTTAAGAACAAAATTAAAGAATGCGAAGAATATTAATAATAATCCAACATTAAAAAAAGATATACATAACGCACACCAAAAACATGTTGATCATGGTCACATTAAACCCACCCAATTTAGAAATGATAGATCTTCAACAACTTGCAATTTTTCACAATTATACTATTGTCAAACCCAATCGCATAATGACAATTGTCGAGTCGATTTTAGAACGACAATAGTTTAATTGATAATTTATATGTACTGATCCTACTCTATAAAATTAAATACCCTAAAAGAGTAATCGAATCGGATGATTAAGTTGTCAAACCCAAGAAAGCCAATAATCAAAACACAACCCAATTATTTCATTAACCCAACCAATTCTTATAATGAATTATTTACCCACCCATTATTAACCCATAACTAACATTCACACTAACCCACTCATACACAGAAAATGATCCTGCCCATGCAGTAAAAAAGGGAACCGAAATGGATTCGGATAGAAGATACTACCCTAAACCCGAATGTAGCATATGCTGGATTTCCCAAAGGAAAACCTTAAGTATTTTGCTTTACATGTCTCCACAACCACACACATTACCCGCATATATACCCCGTACTAAAGTCTATTTCATTCCAGGTCTTTCATTGGGGGGAGGATGTTCACACGGTGAACAAATAGTACCCATTTTACCCAACACTTTACCCTCAGCATCCCATCACTGGTGAATTCAACTGCAGCCAACTTCAACTGCGATTGGTAGAAAAAAAGAAGAGAAGAAGTTAAACAAACAACATCATACAGTGAAAAAAAAAACCAAAAACCTAAAGCGGCATCATCAACCTTTAAAACCAAAACTTAAACCTAAAACAAATGAACATAAAACTTACCTAAAATTAAACCTATAATTTGAACCCAAAACAAAAAAAAAAAAAAAAAATACCTAATTAAAACCTAATACTATTTAAAACTTAAATCTAAAATAAATAGTTAAAAGAATAAAATCTATTTTAAACATAAAGATAAAATAAATAATTAAAAGACTAAAATTAAAAGAATAAAACCTACTCTAAATTTAAATATATAAACAGTGAATTAAACCCTCAACTAACCCTAAATTTATAAATAAATACATATACACGTTTTATAACGTTTTTAAAATATAAAACAAGTAAGAAATTATAGTCGGGCGAGGCCGACCATATAATACCCTACACCTGTTACAAAAATAAAATGTGATTTAGTTTTCATAATAAAGCATTTAAGTTGAATTGCACCTTGCCTTAAATTATACTTAAGCCATTTATTGTTGAATAAAATTGTGGACATTTAAGTCAAATTTTGAAGGGGGATTTGTATAGGGGCTATGGTCAAATGAGACCCTATAATTATAAAATTCATGCGAGTCATCAAGGCTAGTATAGAACTTGGTTTTGCAGCTTTTTGTCGAGATACGAGTATATTAAACATAATTATAAACTTAAAATCCCTATTCGTCGTTTTCAGTTGTATGAGGTCTAGGTGAAATAATGGACCGATGTTAACCATTTTCAATAAGCTTCGTCTCCGGTACCATAGAAGATCATCTGCCAAATTTCATTGAATTATCTTCAAAAATGCGACCTGTAGTTTGATTAAAAGGTTTACAGTTGTATGGGGGCTAGATGAGAAAATGGACCGATGTTAACCATTTTCAATAGGCTTCGTCTCTGGGACAATAGAAGATCATGTGCCAAATTTCATTGAATTATCTTCAAAATTGCAATCTGTAGTTTGATTAAAAGGTTTACAAGCCCTATTCGGGGGTTCTGTTATATGGGGGCTAGATGAGAAAATGGACCGATGTTAACCATTTTCAATAGGCTTTGTCTCCGGTACCATAGAAGATCATGTGCCAAATTACATTGAATTATCTTCAAAATTGCGACCTGTAGTTTGATTACAAGGTTTACAAGCCCTATTCGGGGGCTCAGTTGTATGGGGCTAGGTGAAATAATGAACCGATATTAACCATTTTCAATAGGCTTCGTCCCTGGGCCAATAGAAGATCATGTGCCAAATTTCATTGAATTATCTTCAAAATTGCGACCTGTAGTTTGATTACAAGGTTTACATGGACGGACAGACGGACGGACGGACAGACGGACGGACATAGCTAAATCGACTCAGAAAATGATTCTAAGCCGATTGGTATACTTTAAGGTGGGTATAGGACCAATATTATTGTGCGTTACAAACATCAGCACAAATCCAATATACCCTCCCCACTAAAGTGGTGTAGGGTATAAAAAGGAAGTGTGTTTTATTTTACCCCCTTTATTGCACATACCCCCGAACCCGTCTACACACAGCCCAAGAAAAAAGAGAAAAACAAACAAACAAAGAAAAATCAAAATGTCGACAAAATTCTAATAAATTGGAAAACATGAATGAAAAGTTAATTTAAAATAGAAGGTAATGTAATATTTAAATATCTATTTATACCCTTCATCTTCGTGAGAAGTTTATATATAAGTTTGTCATTTTTATTCTAAATGAAATTCAAGTAAATATTCCATATTTCCTTCTAATCTTTCATATTAAACACAATTTGGAGAAATATTACAAAAAATGAAATCTTCTTAAATGTCAATAATACGAAGTGTAAACGGTAAAGATTTGAAGAAAGATTTCTATTGAAATCTACTACATTTCGATGTAGTGTAAATGGGGTATAATCTACTAGATTTCATTTATATGCAACACTGTGTTGTGTCTCGGATAAAGAAATATAATTTTATGCTATCCATTTAAATTGAATGTTTTTCGAAAAATGACATTTATTTTCGATATAAAAAAATTATAAATTTTAAATTGGTGGCATTTAAGAAATAAATGTATACATTTACAACCTTTATTATATATTTTTAATGATTAATTTCAAATTAACCTTTTTGTGTAAATATTAAAATAAAATGACAAAATTTCTTCGAAAATTCGAATATCAAAAACGAGTAACTTCAGTGGAAACACCTTGAAGGCAAATCTAGTAGATTTCTAGCCAGTGGAAACATAGCATTAGATTTCGATCCAAATCTAGATTTTTCCATAAAAAAATTTAGTTCGAAATTTTATCTGGTAGTTTTTAGTAGTATTAAAAAATACGACGCTTTGCAAGAAAAAAGACAAAAATCAAAATATCGACGAAATTTAATAATAGGAAAACATTAATGAAAAGTTGATTTTAAAAAACGTTAATGCAATTATTTAATATAAATGAAATATATCACATATTTTTTTTAAATTCTTTTATGTCAAACAAAATATGGAGAAATATTAGAAAAAATTTTACTTTCTTTAATGTCAAAAAATATAAAGTGTAATAGCCCATTTACACCACTATGAAATCTAGTACTTATGAGATTTCGAGCCAAATCTTTTTGATTTTAACTAGATTTCCCATTCCAAACAAAATATACTTCGTAAGTAGATTTCAGCAAAATCTACTCAAAATCTAGTTGGTTGCAACTCTGTTTTTTCTTAACTAATACTAAAAAATACGACTCTGCAGCTTCCATAATTAAAATAAAACATTGACTTTCGACGTTTTGCAGTATGTGCATGAAAAGTCGACTCTTCGACTTTTAAAATTTTAACTTATCGACTTTCCACCTTCCCAAGTATCTAGTTGGCAAATATGTTGCACGGAAGGATTTTTTAATCCTTCATACTTTTAATCCATATTCCAAGGAGTATTTTGCGCGACACTTCTTAGAACCTGTATAATTTACCAGCAACAATTTTACTGACAATTTTGGATGAATCCAATTTTCCAAGGATCTACTCTACCCATTTTTTTCTAGGAAGGATTTTTCTTACAATGTCTTCCAAGGAGTTTTTGGGCGACACCCCTTAGATCCTATACAGTTTACCACCAACGATTTTACTGACCATTTTGGAGGAAGCCAGTTTTCCGAGGACCTGCTGTACCGATTTTTTGCACGGAAGGATTTTTTCAATCCTTACCATGTCTCCTACCATATTCCAAGGAGTTTTTGGGCGACACTCCTTAGATCCTATACAGTTTAGCAGCAACGATTTTACTGACCATTTTGGAAGAAGACAATTTTCCAAGGATCTGCTCTACCGATATTTTGCACGGAAGGATTTTTTCAATCCTTACTATGTCTCCTACCATATTCCAAGGAATTTTTGCCGCGACACTCCTTAGATCCTATACAGTTCACCAGCAACGATTTTACATTTTGGAAGAACCCAATTTTCCAAGGATCTGCTCTACCGATTTTTTCACGGAAGGATTTTTTCAATCCTTACCATGTCTCCTATCATATTAAAAGGAGTTTTTGGTGCGACACTCCTTAGATCCTATACAGTTTACCAGCAACGATTTTACTGACCATTTTGGAGGAACCCAATTTTCCAAGGATCTGCTCTACCGATATTTTGCACGGAAGGATTTTTTCAATCCTTACCATGTCTCCTACCATATTCCAAGGAATTTTTGCCGCGACACTCCTTAGATCCTATACAGTTCACCAGCAACGATTTTACATTTTGGAAGAACCCAATTTTCCAAGGATCTGCTCTACCGATTTTTTCACGGAAGGATTTTTTCAATCCTTACCATGTCTCCTATCATATTAAAAGGAGTTTTTGGTGCGACACTCCTTAGATCCTATACAGTTCACCAGCAACGATTTTACTGACCATTTTGGATGAAGCCAATTTTCCAAGGATCTGCTCTACCGATTTTTTGGACGGAAGGATTTTTTTAATACTTACCATGTATCCTACCATATTCCAAGGAGTTTTTGGGGCGATCCTATACAGTTCACCAGCAACGATTTTCGAACCATTTTAGAGGAATCTAATTTTACAAGGAACTATAGTTCCAAGACTATATATTCTTGATTCCATTTTGTGTTTCACACCACTTGCCATTGAGTTTTCCATGGTATTTTTATTAGCAATTTATTTTTCACTTGTGGTGTTACCACTTAATTCCCAAAAACTCGAATTTTTTTTCTGCCGTTGCTATCTGGACGGACGTCAAAAGTTTCATAGAAATATTAACAGAAGGACGGACGAGATTGAATCGGCCCATAAAAAGGTTTTAAGTTGATGAGTATGTACACCAAAACGCGGTAGATGATCCATATTTACGGTATTATATTCGCTAGTGTAAATAAAAAAAAGTTTATGGCGGTTTTAAATCAATATAATTTGAAACACATAGGACTTTTATTTATTCAATAATAGCAATACAAAGCCTTAAAGGACAAAATATAAATATGTATTACTTAGTAATAACAAGTTAGAGTGCTATATTCGGCTATGCCGAATCTTAAATACCCTCCACCAGCAAGCTACTTTTTATTATAACCCATTTAACTATCTAACTTTTAGTTAACTTGGCAAAATTTGGAGCTAAGACAACTTATGGACCGATCCGGATAAAAATCCGTAGAATGATTTATATATACAAAATACACATTTATGTCGAATTTTACCCCTATAACTTTGATTGTCAATGTGCATTGGAGTAATTTTCAGAAAACGTCCTTATATGGGAGTTGTGACCAATCATCGACCGATAAGGAAAAAATATCGTATAAAAAAAAATTCAAGTCCAATTTTACTACAATAGATTTATTAATTAATTAAATATGTGCGTTTAGGTGATTTTCGGAAGTGGGCTTATCTATAGGAGCTATGACTTTACACAAAACATATTTGTGTCGAATTTTATCAAGATATCTTTATTTGATAAAGAAATATGTGCGTTTAAGTGATTTTTTTGAAGTGGACCTTATATAGGAGCTATTACCATAAATGGATCAATCCGGAAAAAAATTGGTAGACGATTTATATGCTCACAAAACATATTCAAGTCATACTTTATCCCGATAGCT